TTAGAGAGTCATTTATTTCTGTTGAGTGTTTTTATATAGTTTAAAAAAAAATATATAGAGGGGAACTTAAAACTTCACAAAAAGAAAAGCGGAAGTGAGAGAGACGAGCATTGTGAAAGTGGGGGACATCCTTGAACTTTGTTCATGCTCATGGAAACTTTATGAATCTTGAATTGCAGAAACTTTTCAACAAAAAATAATTATCCACTTGTACAGTTTCATTGTATTATAAAAATAATGTGCCAAGATTTTCCTTTAGGATGTTTAAATTGCTTGTTGGTTTGTGCGGTGCAAAATAGAAACTTTGGCTGTAGTGCAAGATTTTACATTTTTTACTGGAATGTCAAACAGTTCTGAAACCTTTTGTATTGTCTTTCTATACAAATTTTTATTTTTCATAAAAAAATTCAGAATTTTTGGAGTACCATAAGTATGATGAATGTTCATATTACTACAGACTGTCCTGTTTAAGACAAATTCTGTTTTAGATGCATTGTTTTGCTTGTTTTGATGAAACTATCGATTCTATCAGTGGATTAAGCCATGAAAAATTTATATTACAGTAGCTACAATGCAAAAACAAAATACGAATTGGTTTGTAACAGTACTTAGAATAGTGATTTGCTTTATTATACTAACGGATCTTACCGAGCTTTCTGTTGTGTTTTGTGTGGATGAAGTGATCAAAGATCGAGGAGGTCTCGATATGAGGAGAAGGAGGAGAGGTAAGAGCTTAAGATTGGGGATGCCCAAGGCATCCCAAGTAAATATTCAAGGAGACTCAAGCGTCTAAGCTTGGGGATGCCCCGGAAGGCATCCCATCTTTCTTCAACAAGTATCGGTATGTTTTCGGATTTGTTTCGTTCATGTGATATGTGCAAATCTTGGAGCATCTTTTGCATTTAGTTTTCATTTTTCTTTTATGCACCATGCTGGTATGAGATAGTCCATGGTTGATTTATAGAATGCTCATTGATCTTCACTTATATCTTTTGAAGTTTGGGTTGCTTGTTTCTCTTCACATGGAAAACCGTTGTTTGTAAAATGCTATTGCTATTTTGCTTCACGTATATTTATTAGAGCATGGTATTTTATAGAAATAATTAAACTCTCATGCTTCATTTATATCTATTTGGAGAGTCAACAGGAATTGGTCAATTGCATGGTTAGTCATAAAATCCTACATAAAACTTATGGATCACTAAATATGATATGTTTGATTCCTTGCAATAGTTTTGCGATATAGAGATGGAATATGTGGGAGGTACTAGTCAACGGTTGTGGTTAGTAAGAATATTGGTGTTAAGGTTTGTGATTCCCGAAGCATGCACGTATAGTCTCTCGTTATGCTATGAAGTTGGAGCATGATTGATTATTGATTGTCTTCCTTATGAGTGGCGGTCGGGGATGAGCGATGGTCTTTTCCTACCAATCTATCCCCCTAGGGGCATGCGTAGTAGTGCTTTTCTTCGAGGGCTAATAAACTTTTGCAATAAGTATATGAGTTCTCTCTGACTAATGTGAGTCCATGTATTATACGCACTCTTACCTTTCCGCAATTTGCTAGCCTCTACGGTACCGTGCATTGCCCTTTCTCATATCGAGACGTGGTGCAAACTTCGCAGGTACATCCAAACCCCATGATATGATACGCTATATCACACATAAGCCTTATTATATCTTCCTCAAAACAGCCACCATACCTACCTGTTATGGCTTTTTCATGGCCATTCCGAGCTATATTGCCATGCAACTTTCACTGCTTCCGTTTGATGACTTGAGCATTCATTGTCATATTGCTTTGCATGATCATATAGCTGACATAGTAGTTGTGGCTCAGCCACCGTTCATCATTTTTCATACATATTATGCTAGATCATTGCACATCCTGGTACATGCTAGAGGCATTCATATAGAGTCATACTTTGTCATAGGTATCGAGTTGTAATTTTTATTTCTTTTGAGTTATAAGTAAATAGAAGTGTGATGATCATTATTATTCATTTTTAGATCAGTGCCCCGGTGAGGAAAGGATGATGGAAACTATGATTCCCCTACAAGTCAGGATGAGACTCCGGACAATGAGAGAGAAAAAAAGGGAAAAGAAAAAAAGAAAAAAAAAAGAAAAAAGAAAAAGAAAAAAATAAATAAACAAATAGAGAAGGAGCATTGTTAGTATCCTTTACCACACTTGTGCTTCAAAGTAGCACCATGTTTTTCATATGGAGAGTCTCCTATGTTGTCACTTTCATATACTAGTGGAAATTTTTCATTATAGGATTACATGCACACCCACTTAGTTTCCATATTGAGCTTTCATACACTTATAGCTCTTAGTGTATTCGTTGCATGGCAATCCCTATTCCTCACGTTGATATCAATTGATGGGCATCTCCATAGCTCGTTGGTTAGCCGCGTCGATGTGAGACTTTCTTACTTTTTGTCTTCTCTATCTTTACCCCTATTATTATACTCTATTCCACCCGTAGTGCTATATCAATGGCTTGCGCTCATGTATTGCGTGAGGGTTGAAAAAGCTGAAGCGCGTTAAAAAGTACGAACAAATTGCTCGGCTTGTCATCGGGGTTGTGCATGATAAATACTTTGTGTTAAGAAGACAGAGCATGACAAGACTATATGATTTTGTAGGGATAGCTTTCTTTAGCGTTGATATTTTGAAAGACATGATTGTTTGTTGGGATGCCTGAGTATTGATGTCTTTATGTCAAATTATAGACTATTGCTTTGAATCACTTATGTCTCAATATTCATGCCACGACTAGACATATGATCAAGTTTATGTTAGGTAGCATTCCACATCAAAAATTATCTTTTTTTTATCATTTACCTACTCCAGAACGAGCAGGAATTAAGCTTGGGGATGCTGATACGCCTCTGTCGTATCTATAATTTTTGATTGTTTCGTGCCAACATTATTCAAATTTTACATACTTTTGGCAACTTTTTATATGATTTATTTGGACTAACTTACTTATCTAGTGCCCAGTGCCGGTTCTTGTTTGTTGCATGTTTTTGTTTCGCAGAAAATTCATATCAAGCGAAGTCCAAATGCGATAAAAATTTATAGAGAATTATTTTGAAATATATGTGATTTTTAGGAGGTGGAATCAATGCAAACGGGGGCCCCAGTGCCCACAACCCACCAGGGCGCGCCAGGCACCCCCTGGCGCGCCCAGGTGTCCTGTGCCCTCCTCGAAGGTCGGTTGGGGCCCTTCTTCTAGCGCAAGAAAGATAATTTATGGAATAAATCGTGTAAAAATTTCAGCGCAATCGGAGTTACTGATCTCTAGGAATTTAAGAAATCATGAAGGGCTAGATCTGGGGAGCGCGAAATAGAAGAGAACAGAGAGGGAGATCCAATCTCGGAGGGGCTCCCACCCCTCCGCCACCATGGAGACCAAGGGCCAAAGGGGGGACTAAATACCCAGTACTAACTGCAAAAATCGAAAGGGCCGTGCTACGCGTCGGCCAAAAAGATCCGCCCGTCTACGATCCGTTCGATACGCAGTCTCCCGGTCAGGCGTCGTTGTCTTTTTTGCAACAGAAGTCTTGTTGTGAGAATCCTTTTGCAACGCATGTCTTGTTGCAGAACTTTTTATAACAAAGGTTGTGTTGCAGGTCTTTTTTGCAGCAAATGTCTTGTTGTAGAATATTTTTGATATTTTTCTTGAAACAAATCCCTTATTGTAAAAAAAATTGCAACCGAGGTCTTGTTGCGGAAAGTCACCGCGTTGCATTGTTGCACCCAGATTGATCTTGTTGGGGAAGGGAGTTGCGTATGCGATGATGGTGGTGGTGGAGGCGATGCAGCACGAGGCCGGAGCGGCATAGCTGGGCGGCGGCGGCCGGAGCTGAGCTCGGTGTGCGCGCTCGAGCGGCCATGGGCACTGGTCGTGAGCGGACACAGGGAGACGGGAAGGGGTGACCTCATCGCCGTGCTTGTCGACGGCCTCGTTCGCGTGCTGTCGCCCGCGTGCTGCCGGCGGCGAGCAGCGGTAGCAGCGCATGGAGGTGTTGGCTTGATGCGGAGCTCGGGAGAGCACGAGAGGATCTAGATCCAGATCCTACAACACATCACTTGTTGCGGTGGGGCGATTGCAACGACGGCTCGGTTGCGAAAATTAGTCTACTCCCTCCTTCCATCTATATAGGGCCTAATCGTTTTTTGAGGCTAACTTTGACCAAGTGTTATAGCAATAATGTATGACATGCAAGTTACACAAAGCATACCGTCAAATTCGTACGTGAAAGGAGCTTACAATGATATAATTTTCACATTATACATCTCATGTATTATTAGTCTTACCAATAGTCAAAGTCGGTCTTGAAAAATACATTAGACCTTATATAGATGGAAGGAGGGAGTATGTAATATGTTGCTCTGAGTCATCTAATTAACACCCGATCCGACGGCCACGGAACCGGCGGACGCGGTGGTTGTTATCGGTCAGGTGATTTAAATCATTTCCCAAATCGAAACCCTATATATTAGACAATATATTTATTTAACCTTGTATGGGTAAAAAAGATAATCCACTTTGCTACACAAGTTACCTTATGGGAAAACTGAATGGCCAAAACTACATGAAAGAAATAAAAACGCCTTTCCTAAGAAAAAGGTAACAAAAACGCCTTGGCAAAGGCAAAGCAATACGTTTGTCTCCGACTTGGTAAAACCACAAAGCCTGAGCACGCAACAAAACAGAGGAAGCTTTGTCTTCATCTACTTCCACTCAAAAGCATCCAGCTTTGCAGGAGAAAAGAAAGGAGCGATTCCGTCTGTATCCTCCGACTCGCCGAGTTCGTGACCCCGCCTCGCCGCCGGACCCTGGAAAGCGGCCAGGCGTTTCCGCGCCAACCGCCAAACGAGCTGCAGAGCTCGCACCTTCTCTTTCTTCCCTTGGTTTGAGTAGCCGTGGCGGCCTGCTCCGGCCGGTGCCGCTCAGATCTACCGCGGCAGAGGGGGAAGCCCCGGGTTCATGATGGAGCACACCGCCGTCGGCGAGGATCAGGCCATGTCCGGTGAGTGGGCCGATGCCGGCCTTGGGTTGTTATCGCGTTGTTACTTTGATCTCGCTCTGTTCCTGGAGACGGCTGTGGTTCTAGGGGGTCTTTGGGCTTTCGAACCTTAGAATTTAGAATCGTGTAAGAGGCGTTCATGGTTGGTTTCTCCAGATTCGTGTGGTTGTCGAAGGCGTTATATTTGTTGTGCGATATGGGGCTGCGAATGCGTATCGTTGAGGTTTTCCTGGAAAATTGGAGCATTTTGTTTTCTTTACGTACAAGTTAGTGGTCATTTTCTATTCTTGTTTGAGGCGAGTATAATGATTCACTGATAAATGAATTAGAACACCAGTTGAGCTGCTTCTTGTATAACTTTGTACTCCTTCATCTTTGTTTCTGTTGGAGGTAGAATAACGATCATGTTCGTCTTAGTTGATCGCCATTTACGCTGGAGATTTACCTTCCAAGTGTTATTGAATTACTATTTATTCCACTTTTGGAAAGTTTACAGTTGAAGAAACTTGATATCTGAGTTGGATTTCGTTTGGTTTTAGGGCAGATGGCGGTTGCCATAAGTACGTTTTACTCCATAACTTTCCATCGATATCTACCCGCAAAGATTGGCTAGGGGTGATTGTTCTATTTTTTGCATTTTTCTTTCAGTCATATGTCTCTTGTGATGCGCTTTTGAGATATCCAAATATAAATTCAGTTTTTCTGATACGAGTTATTTTGGATATAATAGAAATGCTACTTATTGCGGTCAATCTATGTTAGGGAAGGTAGTTGCAAATTTTTATTTTCATGCACAGCACAATGTTTGGAATCCCGATTGGTAAAATTGTTATAAAAGGCAATATTAGGGGTGTGCATCGTCCATTGGATCCTTCAGTCTATGCCACCTTCATTGTAACATCAGATAAAATTAGAGTTCTCTGAAAGCTTGGTTAACTTAAATGAGATAAAAGTAGGACTACTCTGTGCTGTGTGTCGATGATGTAATAGATTTAACATATATTTCAGACCTTCGCGATAAGCATCGGATGGACCGGGAGAGTTTAACGCTGACATCACAGCCATTCAAAACACTCGCATTATTTGTGCTAGCCATTGGACAGAGTATAAGAAGCACATGTTCATGTGTTCTGAAAGAAGGTTCTCGGTTGAAGTTCCTGGTTCCCTTGCTTGGTGCTACCTGTGTGCTTCTCTTGGTAACTGATGGCCCACATGAGAAGGTATCATCATCTTCTGTTTTAGCACATTTCTGTATTTCAAATTAGACGAATCGAGTGGCGGTATGCTGAATTGAACTGCAAATATTCAAATTAACAGAGCACTACTTTCACAGTCTCTGGATATGCATAAAATAAACTGTTGCTTTTGAATGGTGAAATCACTGAAATGTATTATCTATTTATTCTGAATGAGAAGGCGTAAGATTTATACCCTGCACTTTTTGAAATTAAGGTAGATGTGAGACTTGAACCTAGGTGGGTGGGAGCAGTGAGTCATGTACTCCGTCTGTGGTGCGTGCGCTCTTGCAGCATGGATAAACCATTATATTTTGTCTTCAATGCAGCATATGCAGGAACTGCTTTGGTATGCCAGATTTGGATTATGGTGGGTCATACTAGGGGTGGCTTCATCCATTGGATTAGGTAAAACCCAAAATTCAATTTGTATTTGTGTGAGACTGGTTAATCTGTTGAATAAAATGCTAGCATAGCAAGTATTTATCATTAAGAATACACATGCAGTTCAATTCTCATCGCATCATTTGTTTTGCAGGCTCTGGCTTGCACACGTTTGTATTGTATTTAGGGCCTCATATTGCCCTTTTCACAATGAAAGCGGTTCAGTGTGGCCGGGTGGATTTAAAGAGTGCTCCTTATGACACTATTCTTCTTAAAAGGAGGCCTTCATGGTTGGAGAAAGACTGTCTGGAGTTTGGACCTCCAATATATCAGGAAACAATCCCATTCAGCAAAATACTGCATGAAGTTCATCTTGAAGCTGTTCTTTGGGGCATTGGAACTGCACTTGGAGAGCTTCCTCCATATTTTATCTCTAGAGCAGGTTATGTTTGTACTGCTTTGCTCTTGCCAACTCGAACATAATTTACATAATTCTATGTTTGCTCATACCTTTTTAAGCATCTCACGATTCTTCATTACTCTTCAAATTATTATTCCAGGGCATCATTGTGAATCACTTAAAATTATGTATAATTGCTTCACCGCATCCAAACTTACATAAACACATCACATAGTTACTTTGATGTGTAATTGCGCGTCAGAAAGAACTGCATAGTTCTTAGCAAGAAGCTTCTTGATCAGTTACAAATTAATTGAACATATATAGCACACTTTGATCAGTGATGACTGTTGAATTTTTATTTGATTGTTGCTTATTTGTGTACCATCTTACAGTATAGCCTTCAATCAGAAATATAATTATCCTATGTGCAGAGCAGAGTAGTTATAAAGTTCAGTTTTATGGTCCTGCTCAGATGTTAGATCTTGAATGCATTTAACTTCCATCCATGCTCCCACTTTTTGTGAGTCTTCCTTTGCTACTTTTTTTATGGTTATGCTTAAATGACAATTTTTCTGTTCCCATTTTTTAATGATTATGGCTAACTATATGATAAGCTGACTTATCTGGCCTATGAGTTTGAGTATCTTGACCACAATAAGCAATCATATAAGATTAGCATAAGTTAAGGCTAAACAATCCGTGATCTTAGTGATTTCTTTGGAAGAATAACTGATGCGATCAATCCATGTTTCTAACATTTTATCACGCCAACTTTAGCTTAAGTTAGACTAAAGAAGCTCTAAATTTGTGTAATTAATTAGGAAAAAATACTTGACGCAACTGACTCAGGTAACAAATGAACCACAGCTAGCCTATCAGGCCAAAAAGTAGAAGAGTTGGCAGAGTTGGATGCTTCTATCTCAAAAGAAGGTTTTCTATCATCAACTCTACATCGGGCCAAGCGCTGGCTTATGTCTCACTCACAGTATCTTAATTTCCCGACAATACTGCTACTTGCTTCGGTTAGTCTCTTTCTTGTGGACATTTATTTGCTTGTATACATGCTTGATTAGGTCACCGTACTTAGAGTTGCCTTGTAGCTCCTTAACAGTTTAAGCTGTTAGGTGAACTCCATTTAAATTTCTTGAGAAACTCATTCTCTCCCCACTCAAACTATAGTTTCTATAGAAAAATTGCATGTGGTATGTGACCATGACTTTCCTTGTGATCACTGGAGCTATTGCAAATGTAGAGAAGTTCTCTTTGGCATATTATTGCTTCATTATTAAATATGACAGTTCGAGACTAACGTTTCCTTTCGTTAGGTGCCAAACCCTCTGTTTGATCTTGCTGGCATTTTGTGTGGACAATTTAACGTCCCCTTCTGGAAGTTCTTTCTGGCAACTTTAATTGGGAAGGCTATTATCAAGGTTTATATGCAGGTTTGCTACTTTCTAACTTGGTACAGTTCCTCCTATGTACAGCATTTAACTTTAACTGCAATATTTGCATATTCATATTTCATTTGTTTAATTCATTTATTCTGATGGACCTAGCCGATTTTACAAATTACTTATGTAGACAACGTTGGTAATTACTCTCTGCAACAACCAACTTCTTGAATTGGTGGAGGAAAGGCTTGTGTGGGTGTTTAGCAATTTCCCTGGAGTATCATCCATCCTTCCCTCTTTAGTCACCAAGTTGAAGACAGCCAAGGATAAGTTTTTAATGGCCAGTGCTGCTGCATCAGCTTCTAGTGCTGCGAAGGTACCGCTTTTTGCTAAGTTTGGAAATAGTTTCGAGCATTTAAAATTCAACTGTTTATGTTTTATTTCTTCAAATGATCTCTATCATCTTTTGATGTTCTCATTCTTTAGAAAGTTTGATTAATTTGTTAATGCAATGTTAATAACTTAAATGAGTGTCCTAATTTATCATGGAATAGTATGCTGTAAGTGATAACTGCGGGCTTGCGGCTGATGATCTGGCAGAAATGTTTTATATTCTCGTATATTTTCTAGACAAATATACTGTTTAACCAAGTCATTGGTATTGTTTGCACAATTGATTAGCTTGTAGATGAACTGATGAGAGGCCTTGGATACATGGTTATGATAGTTGACAATTGTAACATAACTTCAGCATTGTAATGGACTGGAACAATGATTATGATAAAGTTGCCTTTTTTTTGTTTCCTCTGCTGTTCTTGCTTAGTTGATGTTATCGTCTGCTTTCCCAGAAAGTTGCCATTCCCCTAAATATGAATTGTCCTTGTGCAGGGGAAGAAGTGGAATCTGTCGTTCTCTTTGATCTGGAATACCGTGGTGTGGCTCATGATCATGAATTTCATCATTCAGATAATCACTTCCACAGCACAGAGTTATCTCAAGAAACAACAAGAGCTTGAGATCAGCATGAAGTCATCAGCTACAATGAGTTCCGCTTCTGAACCTGCTGCCGGAATATTATCAAATTAATGGAGCCAGGGCATTTCATCCAGCCAGATCGTAGAGGAACGCATTCAATTTATATTCATGCCATCACTTCCTGCATGAGACTGATTTGGGAATTCTAAATCTGGTCATTTACTGGGTAGTTGGCTTTATTCTCCAAGAAATCACATTGATACAGTGTATATAACCCATCCCATCAGGCCAGCATGACTGTGAAACTAAGAACCGCTGTCTGTATTATAGTGGAGCACTAGCTTGTTGATCTACTACTTGGTAGAAAGTCAAAAAAAGAGGAGAAAAAGAAAAGGTTTGACTAGTGCGCAAGTGTAATGTTGGCCTTGTACATAGCAACCAAGAAATTGCCATCAATTGGCACAATAAGCATTAAGTTTGTGCCTACCATCTTGATGTTGTCGTTTTTGTCTCGGCACTGGTGATGATCTGTCAAGATCTGCCATTTGTTCCTGATGGCTACGCGTTGAGAAAATTGATGTCCCTGTCAAGTGTCAATGCAGATGCCAGATGGCATGTCAGGAGAAGGAAAAAAAAACTTCTGTCTTTTTATCAGCTACTCCTGTTTTACTTTCTTTACTCTTCAGTGAGGTCGCCGTTGGCTGACGAGGTAAAGAGTGGGAGGAACTGTGCAGTCTTGCTCTGCTTATTTGGACATGGGCTCTTCCAGCGTGAGAGGCAGATTGGGCTGTGCACTCATGGGCCAATCACACTCACATGGCTTGCAGCGTGTGAGGTTTATGTTTGTCTAAAATCCTCATGTTGCTTAATTATCATATATTGAGGTTGTGACTAAACACCTGCTCCTAAGTTTTTATTTGCATTGTTCAGGGAGTAAGTGCGTTTGGTGCAAAAGGTGGCCTTTTTATCATTCTCCATAATATAAGTCTTATGAAAATCCTTTGAATTCTTTATGAAAAATATAGTCCCGAAAGACTTCAATTCTGCGGAATGGGGAAAGCTCCCGGGGAGTATCTTTATAAAAGATACTACAATTCATTAATTAGATCAAACATTAGGTCATCTTCAATTACTTAAAACACAAGCCTGTCTTTTTGCATACTATTTTCTGAAACTGAACTTTTGGCATAATGTAGCATACATGCCTTTTTTTTCTTTTAAACGTTGGGCGCATTATTGCTTAGAAAAAACTGCAGGGCGCATCAAAAATTGAAATTTGAAATATTCAACTGCTAAGATACACCTTTACATTTTGCAGCTGGGAGCGCATAGCTTGCAATAAGTATTACTGTTACGAGTAGAGCCAGTAGATCGCCTCACCTGGGCCAGAGATCCGGAAAGCTACTACTGGCGCGCAGTAACTGATGAATGCACATGCACTGGCCGAACCTATCCTACGCGCATGCTATTTTCCTACACTGCCCTACCACTGGCCCCCCTATGCTTGGCTACAGCAACGTAAACCTACCGCTACGATCCTACTCCCTCCGTTCCAAAATAGATGACCCAACTTTGTACTAACTTTAGTATAAAGTTGAGTCATCTATTTTGGAACGGAGGGAGTATCAGCTTTCCAGCTACAGGCGGCTAGGAGGCTACGGACTGCAAAGCCAACGGAATATGGTAGCACTGCTGCTATTCTACTGCAAGCTGGTCAGGCATCATATCAGAACAGTGGTGCTAGGAAATGTACTTTTTTTTTGGCTTCTCTGTGGGGATCCGAGCCAGAGAAAAATATTCTGATCCATTTTTTGGGAACGGAAAAATAGCAATGTGATCCCGGCGGCTATGAGCAGGGAAAAAAAAATATGTTGCACATCTCAAGAAATGTTGGCGAGAAGTACTCGTTGTGCGTTTCTTGGATATTTTGTAGTACTGTTGATGTCACTTTGTGCTGCTTTCATCAGAGATATTCAAGCTCGGGTATGCATAGTTCTCGTATTACGAATTCGCCGCTTGTCTTATTAGCGCATAATTTGACATACTTTTCACATAAAAAAACAGGTGCGCTCAACTTTTTCTTGAACTCTGGGGCGCAAAAACTTTCACTATTATCTACTTTCTTCGTCCGGAAACACTTGTTGGCGAAATTGATAAAAATTGATGTATCTATAACTAAAATACATTTAGATACATCTATTTTTTCCGACAAGTATTTTCGGACGGAGGGAGTACTATCTTGCTCTTTATATATTTTTTCCATTGGTGCATCATTTTGGTGTGCATATTCTGTAAATTTCAATACTAAACATGAGTTACAACAAAAGACTTTTGATGGTAAATGCCGCACCCTCCGTTATTTTTCAGTCTCTGAAATGTTGGTATTCAGGGGGTAACATGCCAAATCATATTCATTACTCTACTCCACTATTTTTTTAGCTATTAGCTTCATAGACACCAACTTCTCTCTTGAGCTACACTATACTAGTTTTATTGACTTTGTTAGGCACTAATGACAAGCAATTCTAGTCTTCCCCTACTTCCTGCCACGCCACTCCTCTTAATTTTATACACCCTCTATTAGATCCCTTTCAAGCCACTATATTTATATATCCATGAGAATACGTCTAGGATCGGTAGTCATCACCAGGTACTTACTCGTAAAGTAATCGCCATGATGCCGATATAATAACAGATTGGTAACATGAGCATTTGTTTAGTGCTGAGGATAATCTTGTCATACCAAATGGTTGGATTAAAATATGTCTGCATATACTTATATGTGGAACTGGCCATCAGCCGATCATACATTGCCAATATACAATGGTTCAGATGTGTGCTCATAGCTATATCTGTACGTGCCACCAGTCAAACAAAGCATCCCGGCCCATGCACTTGCCATAGATAAATACACAATTAGCCCTACCACCAAATATTGTATCTAGTGGTGAACATGATGATATCCTGCATCGATCGTGCAATTTAAAATACCAGCAGTATTTTTTATGTGCCAGCGAGCCAGCTAGTGTGATCAAGCCTCTGGAGGGATGTGGCAGCATTGGGTTGCTTGTCCAGGTCACATTGGGGCTCAGGAAACTTTCAACCTAGAGACATGATCCCTGGCATATAATATGCCGGGTGGGGCCGATAAAGTGGAAACAAAGAACGCAAAAAAAATATCAAGAGCCATCGTACATTGTTGCCTCCCCTGCCATTAGTTTAGTCCCAAGTATGGTGTAAACAAACTGGACAAGAAAGAAGCTTTCAGGCATTTGGGCATCTCTTTTGATAGACCTCATTATCATGTCTTCAGCCTTTCTGGCTTTATACTAGTACCTTCCCCCTCACTAGCCCTACAGGATGTAGTGGTAGCACATTTCGGAATAACGCAAGTTGCCATATTATAATAGGAACAAATCGTCCAAAAGTAATGGTTTTTATTTTTGACAAGAAAAGTCATGAATGTTTGATGAGTGGCTAATGTGGGCCAGATATCAGTAGATTTGACATCTATATAAATTGTGGTGGGCCAATAAGCCCAAACAGCTAGTAGATCCTAGAAACCAACTCTCATTCACTAGCTCTTTCTATATCGACAAAGCAAGTTCCACCAACTCGAAAAGAAAGTGAAACTCGAAAAAAGAAGCAAGTTCCTTTTGCTAAGTCGGCAAGTCTAGCTGGTTAATTACTAATACAAGACAAAACATTTGTCTGCACTTTGAATTTGAGGTTCCCTGGGTATCATCATCATTACAACTATTAGCCCTTCATTTAATTTTTATAGTACTCCCTCAGGTTCTTTTTACTCCGCACATTAGCTTTGTCTAAAGTCAAAGTTTGCTAAGTTTGACCAAATTTATATTAGAAAATATTGACATCTATAACATTTAATAAATATAGTATGAAAATACATTCCGAGATGGATCTAATAATAAATGTGTTGTTATGTGAATGTTAATAATTTTTTGTATAAACTTGGTCAAAGTTGGATGAGATTGACTTCAGACAAACCTAATATGCAGAGTAAAAAGGACCGGAGGGAGTAATTAGTCTTTCTTTTGGATGCCATCCTACACGTTTTTGCGGTATGCAAGTTTATATAATTGGATGAGTAAAACTCCCCTCTTCGTATACAGTGCATCTATGTTGAGTTTATACCTCCTACTTTGAAAATTGTGTACACTAATTGCCCATTTAGCAATTTTTCATCCAGATTACTCCATTTAGCATAACTTTTGCCTGTTTTACCCCCTTTAATTTTTATATAGAGCAATTTGCTAGGTGGGCTCTCGGCTGTCAAGTACACAATTTGTCACTTCGCGGTTCTCCTCCTAGCATTTTTTCTGTGCCTGAATCGGTAGAATGACTCGATCAGAAACAATTTGATTCTCATGGTTGTCAGCTGCGCATATGCATTACTTCATTTTGGTGGGTTCCTTCTTCATGTCAAAGTTGCTCCTTGTTTATTGCTTTCACCTCATTTCGCTTCACCATATTTGCTTACGGATTTGCATCGCACTAGAAATAATTCTATCGACGCTTTGTCTGCCAACAGAACCATTGGAGGAGCTATCCACAACTTAAAAGAAAGAACAATTTGAGGGGGTAGACTAGGAGAATTCGAGATGATGGCAAGAACAATGGAGCTACGAGGAAGAAATTATATGTACAATAATGAAAGTGCTCCTTGACATTTCTCCTTCCTAGGAGTAGAAGGAGGCCATCGACAATGCCCCCCCCCCATTCAACTTATTCTTTTGCCAGATGTTTCATCCTCACCGTGTGACTATCCTCTTCCTCCTCTGCGAAGTACCAGAGCCACCACCACCTCGAACCAGCTTTCACACCCACCACTGTTTCTTACGACGCTACGTCGTCATCGTCACCCTGTCGGCACCACCTTTGCCAAAATCCAAACCCAACCACGTGCATATGAGGGGAACCAATGGCACATGAGTCAAGGGTGGTGCGAGGGCTGGCACTGTCTAGGCAGGTCCGACTCAAACATTTCACCGTCAGGTGTACCTGACTGTCAGGACCTACTTTGTGGACCACTCTCACTATTTTAAATGGTGTAAAAGCTAGCAAAACAACTGCTAAATGGGGTAATC